CTTCTTCTTCTTCTTCTTCTTCTTCTTCTTCTTCTTCTTCTTCTTCTTCTTCTTCTTCTTCTTCTTCTTCTTCTTCTTCTTCTTCTTCTACTACTCCTCGACCTCCTCCTCCTTATTATTTTTCTGTTCCTTCCTCCTTTTTTTCTTTTTTTTTTTCTCTTTTTCTCCTCCTGCATCTCTTCCTTCTCCTTCTTCTTCTTCTTACTCTTCTTCTCCTCCTCCTCCTTCCTCCCCTCCTTTTTCCCTACTCCTACTTCTTCCTTCTGATACCCCTTCTCCTCCCCTCCTCCTGATTTTCCATGGATGGCTAGGCGGCTCTCTATAACTATATATAGAAATTTTGTTTAATAGATTTCATTTTCACACTTCATTTATTACAGGTATCTAATCACATTTATTTGTCATTTCGCACAGTATTATTATGCTTTTAAACCAGGATTGGGCATATTGAGGCTCTTCGCCTTGTGTCTAACAAATATGTAAGACTGGGTGGGGGTGGGTGGGAACAGGAGCACAGCTCCCACCCCACACACCCCCGCATACCTCCAAAGTTTTCCGTGTGCCTGCACCCCTGGTGTAAAGCTGTGTCTTGAGTTCATTGGCAGTTTCTACAAAATTCAAAGATAGAAGGCAGACGAAGTGAACAAATCGACAAATCACTTTGCTTCAGCTTGATTTGTTCCTCCCTTAGCTCCTGTAATTGCTGCTGGAATCTAAAGAATGAACCGTGGGATGAGAGAAGGGCTGCAAAGTAAAAAAAAAAAAAAAATACGTACACGTGTGCGCAATTCTGATGTCAGATGTGGAAGCAGGGGAAGCGGAATGTTGAGATGTTGCTACAGGGAGCGTTTGATTACATGTTTGTTTTGGCTTAACTATGCTCTCTAAATTGGCGTCGTTTTGTTGGAAAGAAACGCCGGTGTGAAACCGGTGGAACGAAGACACATTAATTACGGCGAGAGCACGCACCCACCTAGACAAACAAACACACTCATATACACACAGGCATACGTATTGTGTGTGTGTGTGTGTGTATGGTTGGCTGTCACCTTTCCTTCTTTCCAGACGGTAGTGTTATATCATGTTATAGCGAGCATGGGAATCGCAAAAGTCGTCCACAGTTAGGTCATGATATTTCCGGTTTGTTGCCATAGCATGCATTTAGCTGGTGACCTTTTTCCTAAACGCTCATCTCCTTACCTATATGCATATGTGTATGTGTGTATGTGTGTGTGCGCGCGCACACATATTCGCTTTTGATAAAACGTTTACATAGTTCCGTTTACAGTAGATTGCTATGAAGACGCCCCGACTGGCAGTGTAGTTATCAGGAATAGTTCACCAATGGACGGGAGAGACATTATCAATGCCATAAGAAAGAACAAATGATGTGAGGCTTTTAGTTTCATGGAAACAAATCATTATTGAATACACTACATTCGCTGGGTGCGCAGTGCACATATTTCCTTGGAGCAGAGAGACAGGGGAAAAACACACGGGAGCCATCCATAGTTTCATCAACTAGAAGAGAATGTGAGTTGTTTTTCTAAAACACTTGAAGATATGCCCAGAAGGGGATTGGAGCATTCATGGTCATGTCCGATGTTAGATGAAGATGACCGTTAAATGAACAATGAGCGATGCTATAAAGCGTGCGATGACCATCATCAGTTTATTAACTAACTAAAAATCTAAAGCTGTAATCGACTTTTTGGACAATTCGTAAGCTGATCCAAAGATAACAAGATTCAACATGTTACACAATGGTATATCACCTCTGTAATGAAGAAGGTTGGCTATTAAAGACGATAAAACACTAAAAATTGAAATATTTTGGTCACTTGAAACGCGACAAAAGTTTAGAGAGAACAATAAAGGGGTATACGCCTGAGAAGAGAGGAAGAGGAAGGCCAAAGAGAAGATGGGTGCAGGATGTGGCGGATGATCTCCAGATGGGTGTATCGGACGCGGGACATCTTGCTTGTGATCGAGAAGATTTCCGGAGGGTTGTTATGGGAGCAAGGTTCTGCAAAGTACGTACCACTGACTGACTGACTGACTGACTGACTGACTGACTGACTGACTGACTGACTGATATGTCTACACACTGACGTGGTATAGTCGCTTGGATGTTCAAGTGACCCCCAACTGGCACGGATTTTTATGTTGGACGGGCCAAAGGATAATGAACCAGACAAAGAGAGACAAACCTGCTATTCTGTAGGTACACTCGTGAAAGATAAAATTGATATACTTGAAGTCACAGCCTTGAAGAAACAATGGAAAGTAACTCGTTTCATAGTTAAAAAAATTAATCATTGCACAAGATCAGACAGGGTCACAATAAGGCTGCTTTTGTTTTCTCCCCGACAACCTGGCTCTTGACGTTTCATTAATTATGAATTATGTTTTCTAAACTGTTTACTTCGCGCCCCCCCCCCCCACCCCCATCCCCACCCAACCCAACCATTCTACACTTTCAATATAAACAATCGTATTTTATGAAAATTAGAAAAGTATATACACTATCGTCTTCCGGTGTGGGTTGACTGCAATGAATCTATAACACCCTCTGTCCTTCGCTCCAATTTCAGAGCCTTATTTTTCCATCTCTTTATGTCATCTTCCCGCTTGTATCGATGTCTGCCTCTTGCTCGATTGCCCCCAACTTTCCCATCCAGTATTCTATTGATAAGAGTATCGTGTTTTCTTTTTCCGACTCTTCAGAACTTCTGTCGTGTCTGATTGCTTACACTTCCATGAAATACGACCCGTTCTTCAATATTTTCAAATCTCCAGACCTCTTTTTATCTCGGTTTCTCTCCTCCCTCTTTTTTCCTGATCATATATATAAACTACATTCTTCAGTTTTGCTACACTAAACGAATTGATTCATCCCACAGGATATGGAAACATGTCTCCCAAGACAAGCAACGGGCAGCTCTTCTGTATCTTCTACGCCCTGATGGGAATCCCCATGTTTGCCACTGTGTTGGTAGGCACCGGTGAACGGCTGCAGATACCCATCAAATGGCTGCACAGAGGCAGGCCTTGGGTTAAAGACAACCAGTCGCGCGACGAGCAAGTGAAGTCTATCATCTTTATGTCCACAGGTAAGACATTTCCCTCCCAGGTTGTGGATTATTTATTGTGCGCCGCTTGTTTCAATCAATTAATCTGCATAGCGCCTAGAGGCACATAAGGCAGAAACAAACTGTCGCCACCGAGTTCGATCCTGAGCCATCGTCACTTTCTCCAGTTTTTGTCCTTTGCGTAGCTCGAGTTCGGCCTCAAAAGTTTACCTCCAAGTGCCTCTGGGCCTGCCTCTTCCTCGCTGTCCTTGTGGTGTCCAGTGCATTGCCTGTCTCGGCCGTCTCTCTGTCACGGTTTGTTTACATCTTCCTTAATTTTACCCTGGAAATTTACCTTAGAGTCTCCTGATAGGGAAATACGTAAACCCTGCTGATCAAACTATGACATTCAAGAGAAACCATTAGACCAGCGGCTTCTAACTGGCGGGACGGGGGGAGGGGGGATGGCAGTTTGGGGGAAGGAGTGGGGGAGTTTGGGGGAAGGAGTGAGGGTGGGGGGGGGGGGAGGAGGAAGGGGGGGGGGGGATCAAACAATTTTTTTTTTATCTGAGTGTGTTTGTGCTCGTAATTATCGGGATTCTCAGAAAAGTCCTGAAAACAAAACAGCATTTCCAGTTTTATGAATTTGAAGTAGAGAGTAGTCTCCGTTGTGCCTTGGCCAAAAGCAAACCGAAAATAGCAGATAGCATCAAGTAAAATCAGTGTCAATCATAACTTTGATATTTTGACACTAAATTACAAATTATTAGTGATTGTTTCGTTTATTATTTGACAATTGGTTTTATGTGGATGTTTTTCTCTAAGTTCTTGTTAACAATGTTTGGAATTTATCTTTTTGTCCTCCTTTTTAAAAAAAATCACACTGTATTATGTTGACAAAAGGGGGCGGGAGGTTGGTTAGAAAAAAAGGGGGGGGGGGGGGGGGGTCATTACCATATACTCAAGAGGGTGCAACGTGAAAAAAGGATAGAGATCACTACCTTAGACATACTTTATTGCGAAAGGCTGAAAGGTCTGGACTAGATTCAGTCCATGACATCGAAAGGATTGAACGGTATAGGCGAGAAGTGATGTGAACTCTGCGAGCCCTATGTGACGTAAAACGGCACAACAAGTGGATAATGGTGATTGTTGGATGACGACGATCCCAGTTTCTGCCTCCTCTTTGTTTTCTCGGAAACTGCACACCCTTTCAACGATTTCTCCAGACCACCATGACGCTTGATATGTTCAAATTGCATCAGCTTTCGAGAAAAGATGCTGTGTACCGGCGAGTTCTCCTCGATGTTCGTGTCATGCAGGATTTAATTTTCTTGGTCCACGGTATTCAAATAACTTTTTAAAGACGACTGTAGTCAATAAAATAATATATCTACTCCCTGTATTTACTACCTTTAGGGCGGCATAGAGGAAAAAGATGGTAAGAAGGGGAGGGGAGTCGTGAGCTGGAGGATTTAAGGCCGCATGGTTAGTGCAGTGGGCGCAGTTTCTACGTTTGCCCTCGATGTATATTTAAAAAAAAAAATTACCCGGGTACTCGATAAATTCTACCCAAACTGTACTACCGGTTACTTCGTGGTAAGTAAAAATGTAAAGTAAAGATCCCTTTTCATGCCTTTAGGCGTATTGGGCATATGGGAATAGCACCCATATTTTTACAGACCTTCGGCACTCGGTGGGTTATGTGGTCAGCATGCCGTCTTTACTTCCCCAGGACAGCCATCCTGTTACCCATTTTAGGCTGGGTTGAACTGCGACGCCCCATACCATGATAAAAATCACGCAGCCAGCAGTGGGTTTGGATGGCGGTACGTTGGAATTACGAGTCGGACTCGCAACGCCTAAGCCAAGGACGCCGCTACTTACTTCGTGGTGCCATAGTATAACCGTGTTGTATGTCTATACGGTTGAACGGGTTTTACAGTGTTTTGTACCTGTTTGATTCTCATCCTTGAGATGTCAGTCCCACAGAATGCAAATCTGAAGGGGAAAAACTGAAACGAAAACCAGGTCCTCCCTATGAGTGGCCAGCGGTCTAACCTCTCGGCCTTCGGCTGTGTATGCGTAAAGTACATAGAACAGTTTGAGTAAAGCGATGACCGATTGCGTGTCTTCTCCGCATTGTTACCTAAACATGACACCTTTTTGATTCCAAAGGTCGCATCTTGAATGCAAACCCAACATGGGAAATGTAGTATACCCATGCAACACTTCCAATGAAGTTATAATTAAGGCACCCTTAACGGCGACATCAAGCACCACTTTGGTGTTGAAGCCTCTAGTCCTGTGTTTGTAAGGGTGTTAGGATCATCAGGTTAAGCAAACATGGCGGTGTTATCAGAATATCCTTAGTCCAATTTTACGGTTTCGTATGCTCAGGTCAGACAGTCAGTGGGTTGCCTCTGTGAATACACTTGGCAGTTGCAGGTCCTCCATGGTCCCTAATAGCTTCCTCTGCAAGCTTTGCTCTTGAGGCCATTTTTCTTTAAACACATACATATACTAAAAAAACGCGTAGTTATCCAATGGCGTTTTCTTTTATTTAAAATTTTTTGACGTTGGCCTTAAACTTATTGAAGACCCAGATGCAAACGTACTGTCAACTGATATATTGAACCCTGTGGTATTCTTATGTGCAGTTTGAACAACTTCACTCATCAAATTAAAAGATTTTGAATATCAAAATTATGTCGCTTTCAGTAGTTATGAATGTCTTTATGTTTTAGTAACATAATTATTTGGATAATCAAGATATTGTTGCACTAATCCAACATCATTGCTGGAACATTTCAGGTACTTTTATTATAGTGTTCATACCATCGTTTGTATTTACTGTCACCCAGAGCTGGAGCTACTTGGAGTCGCTCTATTATACCGTCGTTACGCTAACTACAATTGGATTTGGTGATCTAGTGCCAGGTAATTGCTGTAGTCTCAGTATGTTATGTCAAATTAACAGATTAAACATGTGTCATATTAATATTACATTTGAGATACTATGTCAATACTACACAGTCCAGCCGTTAAGTAATGAGACTGGTCTGATTGCGATCAAGACAAAGACGCCATTCATGAAGCAAAGCTTGTCATCCAAACAGGCAGCATTATGCTGTAAATTGGCCAGCTTGCTATGCCTGGTCAGAAAATGACAGGTAACCCCATTTTGTTCAACTAATGAGAGTTGCTTTGTTGCATGTGCAACATAGAGCAGACAGCGAACTTGGAAATAGTGCTCTTAAGACGAGGAGCAGCTGGCCAAATGGTTAGAACGCTGGGCTCTCCAGCCGGAGACCCAGGTTCACATCCTCGGTAATAAAATTCTCACACGCACAGTCGTGACTCAAAGACCCCCTGTCTACATCGCAACAGTGGTAAAATAAAGGCAATAATTGGCAGATTAGCTCTTAAGACAGGTGAAGTCACGAGATATGCCCAATGCGATCTTCGGGGATATACCGCAAGGTCATTAGCTAACTCACCTGACTCGGCTGACCCTATCTGTCCTGGTTCTAATTTTTGCTAAATTGTCAGAATATGACAGAAGCTCCACCCACTGCACCCAGGTGAGCCACCGTGGTGTAGCGCCTGAACACTCGCCCACGAATCGGAAGGTAATGGGTTCAGGTCTTGACATAGCTGGACTTTATTTTTTAATTATGGAAATAACCTAGGCTCCTATGTCGACTCTGCTTTAAACGGATACAGGTAAAGTCCTGATAAGCAAATTCGACCGACAAGATGTTGACCACAATACCCATTGATTGCCGATTGGTCAATAAAATAAAGGTCGCGCCCTATATGCCCAATACGCTTGAAGGCGTGGAAAAGTGCTTTATTTTACTTTAGCTTCCACCGCACCCTGGTAGATAAAACAGTTGCCTTTGTGTAGGCGGATTTCCCCTGTCCAATTTAACAGCTCAACAGACACAGTTTAACATAAAATATCTCACAGGACGCTCACTTTATCTTCAGAGCCAAACAGTGTATTTACAGCAAAGCACAGAAATGAATATATAAATAATGCACATCGCTCTGCTAGTCACTAGTTCGCGTCATCATGATAGGTGAATTTCAAGGATCTGGCGAACTCGCCAGTAGCAACCAGACGGGAACACGCTGTAGAAATGTACGATTATATATCCAGCTTCTGGAAATAAAATAACAGTACATTTCTACAGCTTGTTCCCGTGTGGTTGGTACTAGCGAGTTTTCTAGATCCTGGAAATTCACCTATCATGATGACGCTGTAACCGTCCTCTGACGTTTCAAGTTAAGAAACTGCCCTGGACTCCTGGCACTTCACACACTTTTGTGGAAAATCCAGACTTTCGTCTGTTCAACACACCTAAGAAGACTGGGTGTCCACCTACCCCACTGAGCATTATAGCGTCGTTCCACACAGGTATGAGAGGTACAATCAACTTTGAGGGTGTAACATGGGGGGAGTTTGTAAGCAAAAATGGAGTTACGCAGGGGTGTGTATTCGCTCCTACTCTCTTTGGAATATACTTGTCACGTCTTTTGGAACATGCCTTTTGAGGTCAGGAGGGTGGTATATTTGTCTATTCTCGATTTGATTGCAGCTTTTACAGTGCTGGCAGGCTGAAGGCCAAAACCAGGATAAGAAAGGTATTTATCAGAGAGCTGCTGTTTGCAGATGATGCTGCAATAACCACCCACTCAGAGGAGGAGCTGCAGTGTTTACTATCTGCCTTTGCTGATGCGTGCTGTGAAATTGGACTAACAGTCAGCAAAAAGAAGACAAAGGTTATGGTGCAAGGTGTTAATGATAGACCTACAGTCTTCATTGACGGCGAAGAGCTGGAGACAGTAAACCATTTTACCTATCTAGGTTCCACAGTTAAAAGCAAACTATCGCTGGACCAAGAAATCAACATCAGGATAAGTAAGGCAGCAACAACAATGAGTAGATTGTCAAAAAAGAGTTTGGGAGAACGAAAGCTCACAGTTAAAACAAAAACTCTTGTCTATCAGGCTTGTGTTCTCAGCACTCTGCTTTATGGCAGTGAAACTTTGTCAGCTTATTCGCACCAGGAAAGATAGCTAAATAGCTTTCACATGTGATGCCTAAGAAGAATTCTTGGCATTAAGTGGCAGGACAAAATCACAAACACTGAGGTACTGGAAAGAGCAAGTACTACAACAGTCTTCTCAATGCCCATTCTACGAAGGCTCAGGTGGTTGGTCACACCTGGAGAATGGAGGATGGCAGAGTCCCTAAGGACATCCTTTATGGTGAATTAAAGACGGCTACAAGATGTCGAGGCCGACCTCTACTACGGTATAAAGATATGTGCAAGCGGAACGTGAATGATACAGGTATTGAGATGGACTCATGAGAACAAAATGACATGGACCGTGTTATGTGGAGAGGGCATATCACTAAGAGAATGAGAGTGAAGAAAGAAATGATTGCAGACAAAATGTCTGAGAAGAAACGGATTAAACATAAATCTTGACAACAATGGTCCTGAAATCCCATGCTATCATTATGGAAGACGTTTCTTGACATGGGCGGGTCTTGCTAGTCACACTCGCCATCGCCTTGGGCTGTGAATCATGCCCCGTCACAGCGCTATATAACACTATCGTCTGGAAAGACGGAAAGGTGTCAATCAATCCTATATATATATATATATATATATATATATATATATATATATATATATATATATATACACACACACACATTGAATACAAGTTTATGGGCATGCCTGTTTTATCTTGCACGTAGATATTCAGGCGGTATTCACGATTCGCAACTGGTGTTAAAACTACCAAAGAAGAACATTACCTTGAACCTCCAGTTTATGTTTGCAATGATGAACTCACTGTTCAAAGAGAACGGTTACAAGAAGACCGATGTCTGACAATAAGGATGATGGGAGATGAATATGATGTTGGATTTGATAAACATTAATCCTCATAAACTTGTCTCATCAATTCAGCTGTCATGAGAACACCTTTCCGAGTAAAGTATATTTCAGTGTTCGCTCGTTGCTGCATGCTGCATACGTAACCATGCAGCTCTTGCTAGTTAAAAATGTGCGGGTCACTTGGCCTCTACTAGCCGGGCTATGCTGCAGTTTGACTAAGTCATAAATGCTTGAGAGCTTATTTGGATGTTATGCTTTGTTTCATGTATAGCATTTTTGTTTGACCATGATAAAATCCAATTATTTAATTAATTTAGGAGGAACAATGTTGAAAACCTAGGACACAAATGTTGTCTATTTTAGTGCACATAACTGGTTACGTCTTGCTCTCTCTCTCACTCTGGCTCTCTCTCCCTCTTGCACGAAGTGAGAGAAAGAGAGAAGGGGAGGCGATAAATGGAACATACGAAGGTGAAAATGAGGGAGAGGTAAAACCGGAGAGAGAGAGAGAGAGAGAAAAAGAGAGAAAGAGAGAGAGAGACAGACAGACAGCTAAGGCTGGAAAGAGAATGAGATAGGAGGGAAAGAAAAACGGAGATAGAAAATAATAGACATCAAGAGAACAAAAAAATTATGTGAGAACGCGAATGAGATTGAGAGGCAGAGAGAATGTTAACAGTAGAATGAGGGATATAGAAGGGGAAGAACAAGGAAAGCATTAGACAGACAGACAGATGAGACAGGAAGAAAGAGTGAGAGTAAAAGACAGAGCGAGAGAGAGAGAGAGAGAGAGAGAGAGAGAGAGAGAGAGAGAGAGAGAGAGAGAGAGAGAGAGAGAGAAAATTCACCTCAAACAAGGCACACTAACACCCCTTTTATCTCTCTTTTATCTCTCTTTCCACAGGTTACTTTGAAAAACCAGGTAAATGCTAACTTTTGTTTATAACCCTGCTCTACATCAAACCATGCCTTTAGTTTCTGGAATTTTTGTTTACAATTCGCATTTCCCCCCTGGAGGCACACAAGCAAAGCTCCCCCAAAAAATGTTCCTGTGGCATCTCCAGTGCTATGGCATCCCTCCATTCTCAATATTGTCGCCCCTCCCCCGCACACCCTATCATTTTACATGAATGCTCCATTACCGTCACAGACGTAGTCCTCATATTTAACAATTTCTAACCCTGGGATCCGTTACTTTAACTCTATTGCTCTTCAGAAATTTGTTTCGTCATTGTCTATTTATTCTTTTTGATACTAATAGTTATGACTTCAACTATTGTATCTCAGACTCCAAGGGTAGGTGTATGGGTCCCATTTTGGAAGAGAGGAATCCACTGTCCCTGGGGGTTCCATGGGAGGTGGGTGGGGGGGGGGGGGGGATAGAGCCACTGCCCCTTAGTAAGCATGCAGTTAACTTTTTCTTCTTCCTTTGTCGTCTCACTGATACCAGGTTGTAACCAAGTGTTTTATTATTTTGTTTTGGTCGCTTTTAGGGTGGCTTGGGTGATGGATTTGTTTATCTTTTTGCAGGTTTCAGCTTCACCATACATCCATCTTTTTCATATAAACAATGACTAATTAATGGTTTGCTTAAATCAGATAGGCTGCGCCAAAAGGATAATTGTGCAGCCTAACTGCAAGCCACAACAAAACCCGCCAGGTGCCATTTTTTTAGCGTCTGGAGAAGCGAGTTGCTGAGCATATTCAACCATGTGTGGTACAGGCAGTACAAAATACTAACAAAAAAACAGCAACTCAACAAAAATGAATCAAATAAATGACCGGTCAAAGAGATCACCCGTCGCCTATAATAGCGAGCCACCTTTTTCAACTCTAGGCACTTGTAAACAAGGATTATGTATTTTGAATTCTGCATATCTCAACTAACTGTAGACTATTGAGATACATGGAAGTAAAAATGATAAACTAATTGCCAACTGAATTATGCAGACAAAATAACATGATTGTCAGCTTGCATTCGCCTTGGTAAAACATTTACTTTTGAATGTAATCGATTTTGTGTTTCGATTAGAAGGATTCATTTATTTATTTGCATTTTAATTATTTGTTACTGTAGTATGCACCTGAAGAGATGGAGCGAAATATTTAAGGCGGAAAATTGTACAATTTATTGTTTATGTCTTTGTGTTGGATATCAGCATGGATGTAACATTGCTTTGATGTTTTCATTAAAACTGAATGTGTCCCACACAAAAAAAAAATATATATATTTTTAATCCCCTTTGAACATTGTTGCAGTAGTTGACGGCTGAGACTATTTAATGAATAGAAAATACATACACTCGTATGTTTCTATTCTCCAATATAATAATGAAAACCATTCGTTGCTTAAAGAGCAACCACAAGACCTCCTGAACTGGCCACCGGTCTCCCAGCTTCATTACTGAGAGAGAGAGAGAGAGAGAGAGAGAGAGAGAGAGAGAGAGAGAGAGAGAGAGAGAGGGAGAGAGAGAGAGAAAGAGAGAGATAGAAAGAGAGAGAGAGAGAGAGAGAAATAAAAAAGAGATAGAGAAGAGGGGAGGGAATAGCTGCGGCAGAAAACAGTAAGACGGTCCACTGAACAATGAATGTCTACCGTGTATTATAAAGAATCATTATCACTGCAATCAGGACACACTTGCAAGTGCTTGGTCTTTCTCTCATCAGACTTGGGATTGTGTAAATGCTGAATATCAATCATGCTTGGTCTCTCTATCATCAGACTTGGGATTGTGTGGAGGCTGAATATTAATCATGCTTGGTCTCTCTCTCATCAGACTTGGGATTGTGTGGATGCTGAATATCAATCATGCTTGGTCTCTCTATCATCAGACTTGGGTTGTGTAGATGCTGAATATCAATCATGCTTGGTCTCTCTCTCATCAGACTTGGGGTTGTGTAGATGCTGAATATCAATCATGCTTGGTCTCTCTCATCAGACTTGGAATCGTATAGATGCTGAATATCAATCATGCTTGGTCTCTCTCTCATCAGACTTGGGATCGTGTAGATGCTGAATATCAATCATGCTTGGTCTCTCTCTCATCAGACTTGGGATTGTGTAGATGCTGAATATCAATCACGCTTGGTCTCTCTCTCATCAGACTTGGGATTGTGTGGATGCTGAATATCAATCATGCTTGGTCTCTCTCTCATCAGACTTGGGATTGTGTGGATGCTGAATATCAATCATGCTTGGTCTCTCTCTCATCAGACTTGGGATTGTGTAGATGCTGAATATCAATCGTGCTTGGTCTCTCTCTCATCAGACTTGGAATCATATACATGCTGAATATCAATCATGCTTGGTCTCTCTATCATCAGACTTGGGATTGTGTAGATGCTGAATATCAATCATGCTTGGTCTCTCTCTCATTAAACTTGGGATTGTGTGGATGCTGAATATCAATCATGCTTGGTCTCTCTCTCATCAGACTTAGGATTGTGTAGATGCTGAATATCAATCATGCTTGGTCTCTCTCTCATCAGACTTGGAATCATATACATGCTGAATATCAATCATGCTTGGTCTCTCTCTCATCAGACTTGGGATTGTGTAGATGCTGAATATCAATCATGCTTGGTCTCTCTCTCATTAAACTTGGGATTGTGTAGATGCTGAATATCAATCATGCTTGGTCTCTCTCTCATCAGACTTGGGATTGTGTAGATGCTGAATATCAATCAATGTTGCTAGTTCTGTTTTTTGTGAACAACACAGTTGCATTGTTGATGTTCCCTTATAACTCAGTCGAAGCCAGTAGTAACGGTATTATTCCCTTTAGTCTAAGATAAGTAAAGGACTCTCTCTACGCAAGAGCTAGCCTCATAGTTTTGTAGTCTAATTGGCACTCAATGGGTTTGAGTCAGAAGTAGAACGGAGCACTTATGGGTTACACCCGTGTGTCATGATGTTGATCCGTTGTCTAAACCTAAACCTAAACATTTAGCCTGGTTGCTAGAGAGCCAATGTCAATTTTGCGGATTTTTAGCCAGAACCTTCAGGCTCGCTTCAAGCCATTACGGTACCACCTCTCGCCTTCTCAGTGTAATAAGTACTATTTGAAAACAGGGTGCTTTATTAATATCCTACCCCAGATGACGTTACAGGACAGTCCAACATTATAGAGGGTGGTAAGACTTGGTTTCAGGCTTTCTGATGCTTTTAACGACCCCAAAACATCTAGAACTGGCCCTAACCCAACCCACCTACGTCCCACAAGAGAGTGCAGCCTAGGTCCCACGACTACATGCAGCCTAGGTCCCACGATTACATGCAGCCTATCTACCACCCCCTGAAATATTAGACTATCCCGTAACCTGTGGATTCCTCCTGTTTGGGGATATTAATAAAACACTAAAAACAGTAATTATGTATATTAATTATAATTCAACTCCTGTAAATAAAAAAAATAATCGTTTGTTTGCAGCTGAAGGCAGGATGAAGAAACGGCATTACTTTTATCGATTGTTTCTTGGCATTTGGATTCTGCTTGGCTTGTCGTGGGGAGCTTTGGTACTTAGTGAAATTGGATCATTACTTCAGGTAGACACATTTTTATGCTCATATTTCCCACATGGAATGATTTTTTTTTCACTTGCCTTGGATATATAAAACATGTGAAGCTCAGTTATTAGTCTTTTTCTTTCTCTGTGTTTACCTTAAAAGGGCGGTTGGCTTCTTGTGTTGTGGTTTACAGCTAGGCTGCAATATCTGCGCCTTTAGACCCAATACAACACGTTTCAGCAAATCCCTAAATAGTAGCTGTTTACCTACTTGTTAGATTAGTGGATCTGTTCCCCCACCCCTACTTTCCCCGCCCCAATACAAAAAAAAAATCAAACATGGGGCCCCATAACCCTAAAGGAATGGGGCCCCAGAACCCCAAAGGAATGGGGCCATAGAACCCCAAAGGAATGGGGCTCAGTTAATTGTAGTAGGATGATGACTGCACTGTGGCATGTCTAGAGGTGTTCTTATCATTTCTGTTATAAAACCACCAGTGTTCAACGACTGTGCCACATCCTTACCCACACAGAACTGCAGGTTACATGGGGCTGGTGTGACAGCTATAGGTGGGCTAATAATAATTTACTTGGAGGTTAAACAGGGTATATGAGCTTGCCATGTTGGTCTGCCATCAACTAGCGTTAGCGCAGTTGATAGAAGACTCGCTTTCAAATCCAGCTGCGACTTGCTGCAGCCCACGGCCGGTGTTCGAAACCGGGCGGTTCCCGAAGTTCATCCAGCCTCTAGGTAATGGGTACCAGAGTTGACACTCTGGGGTTAATGGAGGAACGTCGCTGTAGCTACGGAGTTACGTGCAGATGGCGACACAGGTAAACGGTTACTTATCAGCTGTCCATACTGTGGCAAAGCACTTATGGTATACAACCGTACGCAATGACACTGGTTCACATCTCCTGACTTTACCTTTATCTTACTGAGACTTGTTTAATCTCATAGTGTCAAACCTTTAGGTCTTATCGATCTGCCATCCAGAATGAGATCCTATATCCTCAGGGTGTCAGTCTCTTCAGGTACCAGCCCAGCGGGCATAAACAGAATGCGCTACCATGCACGCATGCTGTGTGCCTGGACTAAAGAGTTTCTTTGTGACTTGGTGCTGTGTTTTTTGCAAATCTGTTTAAATCTAAACGTTTGCAATGTGACTGTTGATGCTGGACCTCCTCCTTCTACACCTTTTCTTCTTCTTCTTCTTCTTCTTCTTCTTCTTCTTCTTCTTCTTCTTCTTCTCTTCTTCTTCTTCTGCTTCTTGTTCTCCTCTCCCACCCTGATCTTTTATTTTATGTTTTAAAAAAAGCATGGCTGAGAAAATATTTTAACGCTCGTGTATCCATTCAAATTACTGTTCTCAATGTAATATTTGTCAATTATTTTCCAGAAAAAAATTGTGACCGCAGCGAGCCAAACCCAGAATAAATTAAACACCCTGGAGGGCATAGTCAAGAAAAAAGCAAAAGAAACCAAGGACAAATTAGTGAAAAAGGTACTGATTTTAATATTTAGCATATATTTAATTCTAGAATCATTGCTGTTCTTCTGAACTGTTTTAAATCTTTCTGTTAAAGTCTGATTAATACCTCTATTCCCTTTCTGATTAATACCCTTTTTTTCCCTATCTGATTAATACCCTTTATTCCCCATCTGATTATTTCCCTTTATTTTCCTACTGTAGCACTTACTCTTGTCTCACACTAAGTTATCTTGTCTTTTTCTTCATCTTCTTCTTCTGCATTCGCCTGAAGATGTAACTGCGTTGTACTCGTTTACAGTATGGCTGGGTTATTTGTGCCTTTTGGTCAACACATCTAACTTTTGCAGGCATTTTTTGACGGGGTTAGCCTTCCTGGTTTTCCCCCCATTTCTGAAAATCAAACACAGTACATAGGTACAGGGAGATCATTATGGTCTGGGGAGAATGGCACAATAGTCATATCATATCTTGCCGTCCTTTTTAGGATGAAATTTTTCGTTTTTGAAGCCCTACTCTGGCTCATGCCAGGGGCCGCAATATAGCCCGGCCATAAATATGGCCTAATGGCTGAACGTGATTTCTGGGTCCTCTCCACGGTGAATCCTCATCCACATGGTGGCACATTGTGTCATCGGGTGTTTATCGCTTGTGTGATGTCCTGGTGGGGTAGATAGTCAGTTAGTCAGTCAGAATGGCACTGCGAGGAGTTACAAGCGAATCTGGCGCTCAGCACTCAGGGAAAAAACGAGATGGATATACAATCAGACAGTTACTAGTGCCGCCAGAATTGGAACTCTTCAGATGCTGCTGAAGATGGGGACGAAGTGCTTATGAGGGTGTCCTGAGTGCTGTGATGTCGATTCTTAATTCAACCTTCAACATTCTGTAAATCACTACGACATTAATAAATAAGTGTCAGGTTTGAAGGAGTTAGAATAATACTATGAGACATGGAGTTAACGTGACAATACATGTAGCTGTAGAGTGGGTAAGCGTAATAGCCGACAGGGGACACAAAGTTAAGAACAGTACGTAATTAAAGATAATACTGTGTGAAAAAAGGCATGGAAAAGGCAGAGACAATGACGATAGACAGACGAGCAGAATGCGTATCAATAACAATAAATAGCACACAAAAATAAACTGACAAGTGAATTTGAATATCTGGGGCTAATTTAGCCTTCGTTATAAGAATGCCTAGAGAAAGTAACATATGATCTGTAAAAGCAAATCAGGTACTGAGATAAATGTAATTTCATACAATTAGAAACCAACAAATGCAGGGATTGTCATCAGAGCTTAGGAGTTTGTACTTTGTGTGACACTTTCGACAGGTGGCTAGCCACTGTGCAGAGAGAGACTGAGCTATATGGTAAAAATAAGTCAGTCCTCTCAATATAATTTAAATGCACAGTGAGTTGATTGATACAGAGTTAAAACTGATATCACAGCAATCAGGATATACTCATAAGTGCTCAACCTCCATCTTCAGCAGTCATTTAACAGTTCCAATGCTGAAAGTACTGACAGCTGTTTTCTAATGTTTGCCTTCCCTTTCCTCTTAGTGTACAGAGTGATTTAAAATTGTACTGACAGGTTTGAATGTGTTATATCTTACAGGATAAAGACACGTATCTCACCAAGAATGGCAAAGACCTCTCTGAGACTGAGATGTGCAAACTGGATAAAGTTAGTGACAAGGACAGTGATGAAGAAGAACTTAAATATGAACCTACAGACTCAGACTATTAACTTTAGTATTTTATTTTATTATAGATAGAAGTATAATTCAAATAAGCAAATGATATTAATGGTAACATTATTTGTTTGTTAATTGTGATACACTGAATGTGTAAATCTTTCTCAAGTGTAAATCTTTATTTTTATTTTCTCCTAAATGCTTTACATTTATATTTCAGTCTCTGCATGCTTAGTTAAAACATTGTTAATAAAATTTGTCTACAGTTAACCTCATTGCAAGATGAATGTTTTCAGTGCCTATATCAGGAAACAGAAAAGCAGATGTGTCTGTCTGCCTGGTTTTCATTGAAAGTTCTTATTGCAATTACAGTAGATATTAACTTTCCTGAATTGGGATGTGTGATAATGTAGATACTTTTCTTTCTAAATAAACTCTAAATAACACGATTTTTTTTCATGTTTGGTGCAGGGTTTTTCTCTCTTTGACTTGTAATATTGGTTAGCTATTTCCAATCTGTTTTTAAAAGAATTGTATATTTTGCTATGGTTGAAGTTCTTTTCAAATTATTATAAGTCACACAACTTTGCTACAGGTTGCAATAAAAACTCGCCTCCCATTCACAGCCAATAGAAAAAAATGACCACAATTTATAACAACTTATTACATTCACTAGGAAATGGTCCAAAAGACTGGCCACTTGTCACATTTACTAGGAAATAGTAGTCTAAATTTATGTTCACTTGTAACACCCACTAGGATGTTATAGCCTAAATTTTCTTAAACTTGTAAAAAAATATGTGTAAAGTAACAATTTTTTGACTGTGTAGGTCAGCACCATAATTTGATATATATAATGGAAGAATAGTCAGAGAGTTTCTAGGGAGAGAAAATTCACACACACACACACACACACACGCACGCACGCACGCACGCACAGACACACACACACATGCAAACAAATTGGCAATATTTTATCAACAAGCACTTTTATTCAAATATCTTTATATACAGTGTGATTTTAGGCAGAAGTAATACCCTCTGTATATGAATAATATAATAACATTGTGTCTATTATATTAACTCCACTAGGTTGACCCAACCTAATAGGTTAAGTCTTGGGAAGTAAAGGTTCCTGGCATTATGTTGACCACATCAACCATTGAGTGCCGATTGACCAGGTGAAGTCTTGGGAAGTAAAGGTCTCTGGCATTATGTTGACCACATCACCCACCGAAGATATGTGTCTAGCATCATATACCCAATACGCCACTGGCGGGAAAATTGTTGTTTTACTTTATTAACTCTTTCTGTCCCAAACAACGCACCATGTGTGTTCAGCTATTACCCTAAGATTGCCGTAGATGCTCGATGTCTTATTGTATGGTTTAAATTCTGACTTAGCATATTACAGAAACAGCCCGATATTGTAGCATGAAGCACTGTAAATGCTGCCTCTTTGGAAGTTACATACTCAGGCTCTTTCATTGTGGGGCATAAATGCCATAGACATCTCTAACGAAATCTTCTGTAACTGAAGGAGTTAGTTAGTTTGTTTGTTTGTTTGTTAATCGACAGATTATCCTCATTGCACGTCGAACAAGTCCATAAGCCCTCAGATCACATCTTCAATATGTCCCTTAGCATGTGGCTACACATAACACTAGTTCTGTGTTGATTTACTACTCTTCTTTAGCTACCTATGTTGTGTTCATGTTTGGCGACACCTCTTTTGACCTGAAATAAAAGAGTTACTCCTAGTAAAAAGAAAAACTGGGGTGATATTAATCTCATAAAGTTAACAAACATAAATTTTACAAATGTTTGATAGATTTACTCATTTATTGTTTGAGGTTGAATGTTTGTACACAAAGACATGTCTTCAGTTTGTATCTTATATAATGTTAGTTGCTTGTAATATTCAATGTGCGCTGGTCATTATAATTTTATGAAACACTTTATTTTACCTGTTGTTTTGAAGCTAAATGGTTTCCATTTTGAAGAGTGATGAAACAGTCATAATTTTATATTAAAATAAATATGTGAATGTTTCTGGCATTATATTTTACTTGCAAGCTTTACTTATTGTTTATGCTATTTATATTCCAAGATCATATCAAGTTTGAATGTAAACAATTATAGATAATGCTTTTTTTGTGTGTGTTTTGAATGTGGATTTTAAAATACATCAAAGATTGATTTTAGTTTTTACTTTTAAATATATTGAAGCTATAGAACTTGAAAGTAGTTTTGTATGACAATGTTAAAATACAGTGTACACTGAAATTACAATAAAAACAGCCAAAAGCTGTATTATATCAGGAAGATTTTGACTGCACAATAGCTTTGATCTAAGTTGGTTGTCTCCTGATATGTTTTCTGACAGAAGAGTCAAAAGAAGAAGAAGAAGAGGAAGAAGAAGAAGAAGAAGAAGAAGAAGAAGAAGAAGAAATAAGAAAAAGAAGAAGAAGAAGAAGAAAAAGAAGAAGAAGAAGAAGAAGAAGAAGAAGAAGAAGAAGAAGAAGAAGAAGAAGAAGAAGAAGAAATAAGAAAAAGAAGAAGAAGAAGAAGAAGAAGAAGAAGAAGAAAAAGAGGAAGAAGAGGAAGAAGAAGGGTAACTTTGACATGACTGGTCTTAATATAAAATGCTGAATGTATATTCAGATGCCTATTATATGAAACTAGATAACTATGTACTTAATTGTTTACAAATTGTGCACATCTCTGTGTACACTGTGTACAAAATTACCATAAATTGCTGCATATAAGTTGAGTTTTCAGGCCCAAAAAATCTTTGAGGTTGTACTTTATACAATGTACACAATTTTTAAGTGTTGGGAATTTATGTAAATAAAGTATTTAAAACTTGAAAATGTCAGTGCTCCATTGGGGAAAACACTTGCAAACTTAGCAAGTTATTTTGCTGTCTGTTAGTTTGTTGTACATTTTTGTTGTTTCATAAGAATTATGGATCTATTGGCAGAAGCAACCCACCGCACCCAACCTACACAACCACTGATTTGATTTGATTTGATTCAAGAACCGACATCACAGCACTTGGAGCATTTCCATAAGCGCTCTGTCCCCATCTTCAGCAGCCAGCGAAGAGTTCCGATACTAATGGTGCCAGTAGCATTCTGATTAAACGTCCGTCTTGCCTTTCCTCTGAGCCTCGAGCATCTGCCAGAACCTCTCATCACTCCCCCCTACCAGACTGTAGTGATCCATCTGCTTCCCCGAACTGTACATACTCTCCCACAATTGCTCACAGGAGTAAATGTTAAATTTTGGTTTATGCATAGATTAGCATTTG